GAATTTTGCTCGCACGGGCAGTTGTGAGAGGTCAACCGAGTCTGAGGGTCATAAGTTTCTCGAGATTTGTGCACTGCTGAAGGCTGACCTACTTGAGGATGCTGATGCATATGCCAAGTTCGTTAACAGTGTTAGGAAAGTTGTCATCCGCTCAGACTCTTTTGTGAAGCGTCCTGTCTACTCGATGAGGTCCTCCCTGATTGCTATAATGCATAAGACCTTGATCCTAGCAGCTGAGTCTATGCACGTTGATCAGGATGTTGGCAAGTGTGTTAAGGAGGCTGAAGTGGCATTGGTGGTTCAACTTCGCTCGACTGCTGAAAAGATCGAGAAACTCAAATTTGAACTGGCCGTTTAGAAAGAGTCTGGTGTCTCTGCCCCCACTTCTATGCAACTGGAGATCGTTCATCAAGAGGTTGCCCATTTGAAGACTAAGCTTAGTACAACTCAGGCGATGTTGGAGGCCATAGAGAAGGAAGTCAGTTGTGTTTCTTCGGTGGTCGAGGACCTTGAGCATGTCAATTCAGAGCTACGATCTGTGCTAAGGACGAGGAGATTGTCTTCATGCATGCTGAAGTGTCTCGTCTCAAAAAGGTTGTTAGTAAGCTTAAGTCCAAGGAAGTAGTTCTACAAGGTACGTTGTCTATTAACGAAAACCTAAGAAAGGAACTGGATAAACTGCAAGGTGCTCACACTGGGCTTGTTGAGGAGAATGTGTAGCTGAAGAATGAGAAAGTCGATCACGAACTGTTGCTTTTTATCGGATCGATTTCTACAAGCTTGGCTATGTAGACCATTTTTAGGGTAAGCCGTCGGATTATGAGTTTTCTGATCAGAACTTTGAGACTTTTTCCATTTTTCTAGTTGATCTGCTTGATTTCTCGTTTAAGGCTGCCTTTGATGGAGTAGCTAAGGGTCAGGCAGTCCAGCCAAGGGCAGCTAAGGATGAGCTGATGGAAGCTTTGGTTGTTAAGAGCGATGTGGCTGCTGAAGGCATGATAATCGAGGAACCAATGGTTGCGCAGGCTGCCGATGAGTAGTCTTTTGCTTAGACTTAGGAATTTTTTTCTTTTCCTTTTTGTTCTACTTTATTTGAACTTTGCTGGCATTCGAGCTGGTTTATCAATTTGCTAGAAATTTAAAAAATAGTTTTCTTTGTTTCACTTTATCCTTCTCTTTAGCCATGTTTTTTACAAAATTTTATCCTAGGACGGTCGGCTGGGTGAGCTACCTCAATGAAGCAGTTGATCTCACATCGTCACTTAGGGTTTAGTTTCATCTTCTGGGCTTCAAGAACTTTACCTACAAGAGGAAAAAATGTGAGATTTCAACTTACAGAGTCGGCGGCCGAACTCGTTGCCTCCATAGGAAGCAGGCAAGTTCGCATAGCTACTATTGTTATGAATCTCGGCTTCGAATGGCTTCACGAGCTTTAGCCCTCCCGGGGCGTATTGGAAATTTTTAACCTATAGAGCCAGCAGTCAGACACGTGCTTCTTGTAGAAAGCAGAGGAGTCCATGTAGTTACTATGGTTGTATTTCATCTTTGAATGGCTTCTTGAACTTTTGTGGCTTCTTAAGCTTTGGCTATCCCAAGGTGTGTTGCGAAGATTTTAACTTATAGAGCTGTTAGCCAAACTCATACTTCTTATAGAAAGTAGAGGAGGTCTGCATAGCTGCTATAGTTGTACCTCATCTTTGTCCATGCAAAACTTAAATCGTAGATTGTCGACCAAAAATGTTGCTTAGTCTCGGCTTATGGATTACCTTAGGCTACCAGTCATTGAGTCGTGAGTTGGGCGTCTTACTTACAAAAACAGACAATTCGCGTGACCACTTCAGGCGTCGTCCTTGGCTCTTGAAGGCGTTTTAGGCTTGAGGTGTAGGCAGAATCGCGCCTTAGAGGTCATATTCTTCTGAGTTATAACTTGATTCCATAGGTTGCTTAACTAGTATTGCAACACTTTAAAACCAAGCTATGTTCATGAAGATTTGCACGTCGAGGACAGATCATCTTATCACACGAACTCTTTCATGGGCAGGTATCCTACATTTAGCGTCTTTTCTGGTTAGAAACCCAGGATCCTGCAGAATTAAATCTTTCAGTCGGCTAAGTCTATTCCAAGGGAATGACTATCTTGGCCAATTATAGGAGTCATCCAGCTCAGGTAGTCGCTGCATTTAGGGGAAACTGAGTAGTCGTACCACCCATCCACATTTGGACATTCTGGTGTGATATGCTTATAAAACATCGGATAGCTCGTCTGGCCACTTGGCCTTCTTGTCTGAAAGAGACTTTTTCAGGCAGTTAAGAATGGTTTTATTGGACACCTCGGCTTGCCCATTGCCCTACAGATACTTGGGCGTGGACATGTGCTACTTGATGCAATATTTTTTGAATAACTCCGCTAAGTCTTTGCCCACGAACTGCAGACCATTGTCAATGACGATGAAGTGCGCAATGCTTAAGCAACAAATGATGTTCTTCCATATGAAGCACTTTATGTTCGTCTGGGTAGTTGTAATCATGGGTTCAGCTTCGACCCATTTTGTAAAGTAGTCAGTTGTTACGGTCATTATGCCTCCGACCTTAATGGTAGACGACATTGGTTCTACCAAGTCAATCGCCCATTGCATGAATGGCCAAGGGCTTATTTGTGGGTGGAGTGTGCTAACAGGTAGTGCGGGAATGGGCTTGAAGCGCTGGCAGCTATCGCACCTTTGTACATACTTCTTAACGTCTTTATACATGGTTGGCCAATAGTAGCCAGCATTAAGAGCTTTTTTTTGCGCTAGGGAACAACCTCGAGAATGGTTTCCACAAACGCCTTCGTGGATGGAGCTAAGAATCTTCAGGTCGTCGGGAGATGATATGCAGTAGAGATGTGGTCTTGAAAATGATCTTCGAATAAGCATGCCGTTCCACATGTAGTAATGTACTGCTTTCATCTGTAGCTTTCTGGACTCAAGTTTATTTGTGGGGAGTGTTCCGTTGACTATGTAGTCGTTTGATGGGATCTTGCCAACTCAGAGTTATGTTGATTTGCATCACCTCGACTACTGTTTCCTCATCTATACTCAGCTTTTCCAAATATTCGACTGGGATGGAGCGCTTGAGCTAATGGTCTAAAACAGAGCCTAAGCCTGCTAATGCATTTATGTGGAACCTGAGTAAGTGTGTATGCCTGGAACGTCGCTAGCTGCTATTGTACCTTTTTGAGGTTTGGTTACTTTGTTGCGTACTCCCCTAAGGTTTAGTTGGTGATTAGCTGGAAATTGGAATAAATTGCGAGCTTTTTCACCGCTAGGTCTTTTGCCAATCAAAAACCTGCTAGTAAGGCTTCATACTGTCATTGTTTGACACCATGAAGCTTTAGCGTGATTGCCTGCTTAAGCATCGAACCTTCCGGGATAGTGAGAATTAAGCATGCTCTTATCCTTGGTAGTTGGATGATACGTCGACGTGCAAGCATCGAAAATCTCCTACAAGTGGGGCTGGTGGGCTACGGTGTGCTCGGTTGCCTTTAGGGTATTTTGGGCTGTGTTGCTACACTTATTAGAACATCCCCTAGTTTGCGCACCTTTAACGTTGTGCGTCTGGGTTGTGAGGAATATCACATCATAACGATGACTACATATGTTTGAAGGTATGGCTTGAGCTTCTGAGTTGCAACAACTTACCACAATCAAAGCTTTGATTTTCAAGTATCTGGTTTTTACATCGAGAAGAGCATTGGTTTATGCGTTGAGGAGATTTTTTGAACTGTGGAATACAGGTTGTCAGGCCCCTAGCTCTTATCGTACGAAGGTAGAGCTTATTACTGCTTCAGATAGCATCATATAAATGCATAGGTCTTTCACTATTTCCAGCTTGGATAGTAAGGGATGTGATGTCAGGTACTTCTTCAAGTCCTGTAATGCTTTCTTGCACTTTGTTGTTCAATTTGTCTTGCTATAAGCTGATCCTCTTAAAAAAACTTGTATCGGTCGGTAGGTTGGGATAAGAATCGATTGAGTGCAGCTAGTCGTCATGTTAGACCTAGGATCTCCTTTAGAGTGGCAGGTGACTTCGTATCCAAGATAGCTATGATCTTTTTTGGATGCACATTCTGCGTGGTCTGACCGCTGCTTAGGGTCAAGGGAGATGTGCTCAATGTCCCCTTCAGGTTTCCATCTTGATTCATCTACCAGGGCATTGTCGACCTTGACGCCATCTTCCCAACATGCCTGCTGTAATTGTTATTTGGTGGAGGTAGAATCATTTTTTTGCACTTCAGCTGCTACTGTTGGGGTGAAAGACTTCTTCTTCGTCTCCTTAAGAACTTGTACAGTGTATCTCCGAGACATGGCCTGGTCGCCTTTGATCTCTCTGACTGCTCCTCCCAAAATGCGAAATCAGATCTTCTGGTACTCGATCAAGGTCACAGCTCCAATCTTCATTAGCCAGGGTCGGCCTAATATCCCATTATGAGGAGATGGATCGTTGATGATCATGAAGGTCTACAATGAGACAATCGGTGGGCTGGTTACGTCGAGTGTGATAATGCCAATGGTAATTAAGGTGAGTTCGTTGAATCTGGTCAAAACCTCTAATTTACTTTAGACCATGTTTTCCAAGCCCATCTTTTGGATGACTAACAGTTGTAGGATGTTGACCGGGGTACCGTTGTCCACCATAATTCTGTTAATGATGGCGTGGGCCAGTTGAACAGAATTCACCAAGGCGTCTTCATGGGGAAAGTCTACTCCCTCAACGTCATCCTCGGTGAAGCCGACGATTGGTCTAGGTACAACATCTATGGCTTGAACCTGAAAGACCAATCTCGCCTGCTGGAACTTTCTCTTCTTAGAGTTGTTGGTGGCCCCTAGATGCTTGGATTCAGCGAAGATTCTGTTGATTCGAATTGTCTTGGTTAGGGGTTCAACATCGGCGTCTACTTCTCACCTTGGCCGAGTAGCTGGCCTATCGATATACTGGTGGCACTTGCCTTCCTTCACGAGTTACTCAAGGTACCTCTTCCACATGGTGCAATCATTGGTTGTGTGTCTGAGGCCTTTATGGAATGAGCAGTACTTGGTCTGGTCTATCTTAAAGGGGTCCCTCTTTATAGGTGGCGGTAGCTTGAACCATGGCTTGTCCTTGAGGTCGCGAAAGATCTGGTTGATCAGGACCAAGAACTTGGTGTATGTCTTGGGCGCCGAGCCTCCCTTCGTCGAGGATCGATCCGTACGTCTGCTCCCTGTCTTGTTTTTGTCGTTGAGCAGTTTATCGCTCGTCTTCTTCTGAGTCCGCTCTGTGTCTTTGTACGGTTGCTTTAGCAACTTTTGAGAGCACTTTTCCTCATTCCAGATAGAGTGTTTTTCTGCCAAAGCATAAGAGTTTGACAGGGTCAAGTTCTCACCTATGATTAATTCTCTAAAAAATGAGTGATCTGCAGGGAGCCCTTTCCATAAAGCTGAGCATGTGATGCTGTCATCGTATCCGATGATCTTTGCCTTGAACCACTTGACATATATATGGAGTGACTCATTCAGGTCATTCTTCATATTGAAAAGGTGGTCAGACTTCTTCTTAATCCACCGATAGGACGAATATTCCTTCGTGAAAACCAAGAAAAGTTTGCTGAAGTTCCAGATTGAGTGTGGCGGTAAGGTGTAGAACCCGTCTTGCGCTTCGCCTTGGAGCATCGTGGTAAAGATTTTGCACATAAGAGCGTCGTTATTGGCGTATAGGGTCATGGCGCTTTGATAATGTATCAGGTGCTTGTTCGGATTTTCATCTCATTTGAACAAGGTGAAATATGGGGGCTGAACTTCTGTGGTGTCTCCATCTACTCGATCTCATTTGTAAAAGGTGACCTGCTCAGGATGGCCACGTTTTTACAAATGACATTGTCTATAGTGTCAATACGCTGGAATTCGCGTAGCTTTGTACTTCTTCTTGGATTTGCTCATGTTGGAGCAACAGAAGCTCGAGTTGCCCCTGGTGTTAACCTGCTGGTCTATGTTGCTCTTCGACATGTCCTGCTCATCTGTGCCACGGTCGCGATGCACGTGGTTCATCTTGTGCTACTCACTGTCGCGCTTGGAGAGGGCTGCCAATGGAACTTAAGCTGGACTGTTCTCATGCTTTGCTTTGTTCGTCATGCGGCTGCCTACTCTGGTGCCTTGTAAAAGAATCTTCTTGTGGGCCTAGCCACGTGTGGACACTTCTCCTAGAATATCCTAAGTGCTCATCGAAGTACGCACCTAACCTCGAATGCACACTGACTTGTGAGTCTAGTCGGGAATGAACACTTCTCAGTGCATCTAGATGGGAGAAGACTTTTTCCTGAGGGCCCAAATAAAAGTGCACACTACCCGAATGCATGGTTCGTGGCGGGCTGAATGGCTTTTTATCGGGACGTCGTTGGAATGAGTCACGTTCTTCCGCCCTTATATTGCTTCGGGACACTTCTTCTGGGGCGCGCTGCATCTTGATGTGCTCGAGTAGCTGGTTCACCAAGGTGGTCTGCTGTGCGAGGGTACTTGTCAAATTGGCGACTTGTTGAGGTAGGTAGTGTTCACCATTTGAATTGGAAAAGTTTGGATAATGTGCGTCTCCATGTGTGGTTGAAGTATAGTGGACTGTAGGTACAAAACTTGAGCCCAATGCGAGCATTCCTGCATAAAAGTAGGGTGAAAATAACTGTGAATTAATCGCTGGACCTGTGGTCATAATTTGGTCGAGCCTTGCATTGCGCATTGGGTCGACGCTTGTTCGCCTTGGGCCTGCATGGGATTAGGCTCTCATGACCGTTGGGCTACCATCGTGACCTGCTAGCAGGATAGCTTGGGTTGGGCCCATTGCACTGCATGGCTGGCAATAGTTGCCGTGGTCTAGGCTTGGGTCTAGGTTTTTTGTGTAATAAGGCCTACTGCTGCGGTGGGCTGGGCCTTTTGTCCTGGGCTTTCTGTGGCAATTGGCGTGGGATGGGCTTCGTGCACATAACTTGCTGATGCCCTAAAAGCGTGGTGGGCCGTTGCAGCACGCGTTTGGGCCTCATCTTGCGTAAAAACATAAAAACACAATATAAAACACTATTTAATGCTCGAAGAAAACAAAATTAAAAATAAGAAAGATTAAGACTAAGACTTCAACGAAATAGGGGAATTGGATTTGAATTTAAACTAAAATGGATACTTGGAAGCAAAACGAATTGTAAATATGGATTTGTCGGAAATGAATGGATGGGAAGCTAGCTAAGGGTTCTTTCTCCACACATGATATTTATGCATATGAATTAATTTCCAGTTATTCCTTCATTGAATTATGAACGACAATGCCCCAAATTAACCGTGACATCACTAGTTAACCCTTAGATTTTCCTTATATTATTGGATTGGATGGCATCATTCGACAACCCAAAACATTCTCAAAAGTTCCCTACATGTCATCATAATAGAGATACAATCGAAGATCATTAAGAATAATGAAAACCATAAGCATTGACAAAGCATTTGCAACTATGACATCATGTTACTCATGCTAAGAATTAAACTTAACGCGATCGTGACAAGCGACCTTCACTACTTTCAAGTATAAGTTAGTAACGATTATGTGAAACCTTCTTAAACTTTAGCCACATACTCATGCATGCTAATTAAGTGTCGACCCTCAATCAACAAACACAAATAAGTTAATCATCAAATAGTTAAGCCAATTGCATTCACGAATCAAGAGTTCATAACTGGAATTCATCAATTCATATTACATAAACAATCATGGTATTGAAATCACCCCTAGCTAAGGGGGGTTTAGTTCCTCATAACTTTGAAATCAAAGAAACACCTAAACATTCCAACAACTCAAACTCGAATTGTATGAACGTTTAGGCACTCTTCTCTTCCATTCCTCATATTACAAAACAAAGAGAATTGAATTTACAACATTGAAATCAAAGAAACGCGTAAACATTCCAACAACTCAAACATGAATTGTATGAACGTTTAGGCCCTCTTATCTTCCTCTTTATTGTGGCACAAGGACTAAGGGATGTTGTTGGTGTGTTGAATGGATTGGGGGATTATGGAAATGGAAGAAATGGAGGAGAGATGGAAGGGAAACTCACGGCCAAAAGGGGGAAGAATGGATGATTTTGAAGAGTGTTGTGTTGTGAATGAGATGAGATGATGAATGAATGAATGAATGCAAGGGTATTTATAGGAGTAGTGGAGGGAACATATAGGGAGAGAATGGATGGGAGAGCATGTGAATGATAGCTAGGAGAATGATTAAAGGGGTGTGAATGGTTGGAAATGCATGTGGGTGAATTGGTGGTGCAATGATGAAAGAATAAGTGCATGTGTGTGTTTTGTGTTGGAATGAATGTGGATGCATGATGAAAAGTTAATAAATAATGCTTGTAGGGTTAGGAAATAAAATCATAATTTAAAGGGGGGATGATTAAAGGATGTGGCTAGGTTGGAAAGGTGTGGAAGATGGATGGAATTAGGGGGAATGCATGGCAATGATGGGGAGTTCTTTGGTGATGAATGCAATGATGAAGAGTGAATAAATAATGCATGTGGGAGTGGTTGGTTGTTGGGCATTGAGTTAAAGGGAGATGGTATTCTGAAGGTTGTGAATGCATTTGTGCATGTTATGGTCGGTTTGGTGTGATGAATCGATTGCCTGTGCTAGCTTGTTGATGATTGCATGGCCAAAGGATTGTTGATTGGGCTAGGGCCTAGGATTGACAAGTGCTACAAGGCTTTCAAATTCGGGCCAACACTGGGCTCCAATATGTATCCATTCCAGCCTTTGCTAGCTCCAAAATCTTTTTGCTTCTGGCCTATGACTAAAACACACGAAACTGGTTCTTACAAACTTGCAACGGGATGCACGAAAACAAGCTAAGTGTGGGCCCTGCAGCACGCGTTTAGGCCTCAGCTTGGGCTCCTATTGTTGCGGTGGCCCTTGCCATAGGTTGCAAGGTGGTGGCCATGGTGGTGGCGTGGCTACACAATGGTGGGGCTCATCCTGCCATCACTATGAGCCTCAATGATTTCCATCGTGGGGCTATGTCCTCATCTCCACTATCTGGTCCAAATCCTTGCATGTACAGGGTTCCGTTTGTCATGGTTTCCGAATTTCCTATCATTGCATCCTTTCCCCAAGGATTGATCAAAAAAAATTTCTAAGAAAAATTAATTGATACGATGTGTGGGAAATTCAGCATAACAAAAAAATTCAAGAAATCAATGCAAGAGGCTTTTTCGAGTATTTAAATCAACTCTCAATGAAAGCACCAATTTGTCGATGCAAATTTCTGTCGTCTTCAGTCTTGACGAAAATGCACCCGCAAAACAATTAACACCTTTGATCAATGACCTAAGCCTCACGTGCCAACGAGGTGAATAAAGTGTTTAGGGCTTTTTTAGGGTAGCAAAACCTTCTGAAATTTGGTAGAATATGAGGTATTTATAAGGATAAGGCCGACCATAGTGTTAAGGTTTTACCCTACACGTGGTGGCATCTATTGGCCAAGTGTTTTATGGAAAAATATTCTCTAAATATTCTCCCAAGATATTAAATAGGAAATAATATCTTGAGATAATGGAGTAATTATCCTTAATTTATTTAAATTGGGATTACTTACTTGATTGGAGTCAATCTTCAATTGGGAATGTATTAAAGATAAGATTTGAGTAATTAATCCTTATCTTTAATGCTTTCACTTTTACTTGCAAAGGGCAAGTGAGCTGTGGGTAGTCGTATTCAGCTGCTACGACCTTCAAGGGTGTGAGCTGCACGTGGGAGTATCTAAGAAGCCTGCTCATTTATTGAGGGAAATCTTGTCTTTCTAATGCAAAAGTCCACATGTCGCCTCTAGAATTTATGAGATTATTTTAGGCTACACAAACATCATGTTTATGTTAAGGGTTATTATACAAAATGGTCCCTGAGATTTGCATGATTAATAGAAATGGTCCCTGAGATTGTCCACCATCCATGATTTTGGTTTTTCCGTTAAAACCGATTTTGGGCAATTTTTAAAGCTTTGTAACTCAATTGTTTCTTAATCAAATTTGACCCATAATATATCAAAATGACGATAGGTAAGTGTAGAATAATATTATACCTATTTGGAAGCCCAATGGTTGCCCGAGATGGCCAAAAAATAGCCTGAAAGGTGATTAGTCCGCAGGAAAACTGGAAAAGTCATCGGAAACTGGGTAAACTTTAAACGTTCATAACTTCTTCAATACTCAACAAAATCGAGTGAGTCGAAAACAAAAATAATACTTCTTGATGATACGAAGAGAATGGTACCTTTTTCGAAGGCTAACTCCCTGTGGTTTGGTTGGACAACGGCTCGAAAGTGGCTAACCATTTTCGAGTTAGCCACTTTCGAGCAGTTTTCCGGTCAAACCACGGAAATTTAGTGGTTAAGAAAGATACCATTCTCTTCATCTCATTTAGAAGTATGATTTTCGTTTTTGAATTACTCGATGTCATTGAGTATTGAAGAAGTTATGAATGTTTAAAGTTTACCGAGTTTCCGGCGAGTTTTCCAGTTTTCCCGCTGACCAGTCACCTTTCAGGCTATTTTCCAGTCATCTCTGGCAATCATTGGGCTTCCAAATAGGTATAATCTTATTCTACACTTTCATATCTTCAATTTGATATATTATGGGTCGAATTTGATTAAGAATCGATTGAGTTACGAAGCTTTGAAAATTGCCCAAAGAATTTT